TTTGCTCGGGCTGACTACAGCGGCGCCGGATGGAGCAATGGCACCGGAGCATGCGGGCGACATCGACCCGTGGCGCACGGACAAACATTTATATCTGATCTGTGTTGTCAATTTTGTTCGTTTTTTTTCTGACTTTCCGTGTTGGTTTTGTGTTTTGTGTGATGACGTCGTCACCGGTTTTGTAGAGAGACCCGTCAGAGATGGCGTGGCTAACCCGGGTGCATTGGTTTTGTGCCTGATCGTGGAAGACCCCTTCAATGTGGAACGATTCTTAGCTAGTGTCGATATTTTTCACTGCAGTGCCTACACAGACGATCGGGAGAGATTCGGGTGATTGTCAATTGCTGCCATGATGGCTTTAGTTGGTTGCTCTTTTTCACTGTACGGCCGCAGACACATTCTGACAGCACTTCAGACAGCAGCTTTGTGCCCCGCCAGCTGCTTGTTCCATGCCTANGTATTGAGTGGGACAGGGAGGGGGTGATGCTGCTTCGAACGGTGGGACGGACGTGCAGTTCAGTTTCTGGGCACGCATACGGTGCTGCAGGGATTTTTAGGTGTACCTCTTCGGGCTCTTGGATACCTTTTTCTCGTTATATGTGTGCGTGTTCTTTAGATCCTCAGATGGCTCTAGCACTTTCGTGACCACGGGCTGAGAGTCTTTGCTAGATTTTGGCATTTAGCAACAGAAGTTGAACTGACATACGGTTTAATGTGAAGACAACAACAACAACAACAACCCTCTTCCCAGACCGTTTCGACAGCAGCAGTAAGCAGCACTTTGCGGTACACTTGTTGTGATGCGCTACAAGCAAGCAAGCCTTACGCACACACCTCCTTCAAAGACATCCACAGATCCAAGCCGTCCATTTCGCGGCCGCCGCCGCCGCAATATCTTGAGCACGCCCGTGAGACCATCCCCAAAGTGGTGTCGCTCATTTTAGCTGACAGATGTCCCGTTGTTGAATCAGCAGAAGTAGCAGCAGCAGCACCGCAGCACCGCAGCAGAGAGGCCGCCACCAAGACTCCCCCAAGCAAAACCCATCGCCCCGGCGTGCTTTTTCTTCTCCTTTGCGGGAGAGGTACCCTTTGCCGTGCCATGTGAGCCGGTGGAATAAAACACCGAGCTTGCTCGTCTGTGTTTTAACACTAGATTTATTCTCCTGTGAAACGCAAATCAATCCGTTGTTACCGTGCGCGGAATAGTCCAAGGCGCTGGCTGTGCACCAGCTCGGTAGTAGCCCACCCCCAGCCACGATCCAGGTGGAAGCGGCTGTGCAGCTCCTCGGTAGTGTCCCCACTTCGCTCGATCAGATGGAGCTTTGGCACGTTGTGTGGTAATCGGCGAGGTCCCAGGTGTGTTCCCCAGTAACCACTGTGTTGGTTGGGGGCACGTCACCGTTATTTGACAATTCGGTGACGAGACGAGATGAAGTCGTCCCAATTTGAGCGTTTGAGCTACTCGGTATAGCGCTGTGTGTTGTTGACCCTGCGCACCTCTGGTCTCCACGCAACAGCAGCAGATGCACGGCACGGTATCACCATTTTAAGTTCATACGGTGATGCCAAGGCTCATCCCAAGGTGTTGTTGTTGCTGATTGTCCCGCTCTATCTACAGCAGTCCACAAATGAAAAGCCCGTGGTCTCAAAACGCCGCGGCGAAACAAACAAAAACAGGGTACAAACCACTCGGAAAAGAAAACATGTATGCATATGTTCTAGTGTTAAAACACAGACGAAAATATACACACCCCGAGACGCGCTTGCTCCGCAACCACATAAGGGTGCCATAATAGAACACCCGACAAACCGAGTTTCCCTAAATCTTCCGTCTTCAACTTCCCAACGTAACATACCGATACACAAGATGGCTACCAAACTGCCTTGTTGAGCCTGTTACTCACAGGGGAGATTTCGTTGTTTGCTGTCTGGGAAACCGTAGGCGTACAGCAGGTAGCTTTTCGCTCACGCTATGGATTGATTGCTGATCTATCTCTGCTTTCTATAAAACAGAGATGGACTTGTTGTGTGATATTGTTAAGAAAATGAAAAATGATAGAAAGAAAAGAACAGGTACCGCACCGACCGTTCGAGAAAAAAAGAGCCCTCGGATATGTGGTACACTGCTGTGTATGTTGTGTTTTCGTCCTATATATTATGGCGACAGTCCCCCCATTTTTCGTGGTGAGACGTGTACTACACTCGCTCAGGGTGTGTAGAGTGCTGCACTTTTCAGTGTATTTTTTCGTACAACTACAACCATCCAGGGTCACNAAAGAGCCCTCGGATATGTGGTACACTGCTGTGTATGTTGTGTTTTCGTCCTATATATTATGGCGACAGTCCCCCCATTTTTCGTGGTGAGACGTGTACTACACTCGCTCAGGGTGTGTAGAGTGCTGCACTTTTCAGTGTATTTTTTCGTACAACTACAACCATCCAGGGTCACACAGGACACGGTGGGGAGACCACTAACGACAAGCAAACACAAAAACATGGCCACCAACCAGCGATACATTGTAATGGTATGTCATCACTAGTGGGGGGTTGGTGCAATGGTGCAGCGTTGGTTGGGGAGGGGGGAATTGGCTAAAAGAAATTCAATCCGGCACGCATATAGTCTACTGTACGCCTTTATCCCGCCACTCGGTCCTTCTTGAACTTACTTGGTAGGAACCGTGACGGGTTCCAAAAAAATCGGCTCTTTTCGGTCACGGCCGATGGACCAAAGACCTAGAAAAAGAACCAAACAGTGAATGTCTACTCGCTTCGCCGTGTTTACCGGGGGCGAGCGAGAGCACGTGTGCGTGTGGTGGCCAAGGGTTGTTTTCTGCCGTGACGTTTCTTTTTCCCACCCACCCACCCTTCCTTGCTTTTGGGGGTGTCAGTGGACATGGAAATAGGAGCAGCGGCGTTGTGTTCAGGGTGAGTGTCCGTCGGGGGGGACTCACTGTGTAGCCGCAGTCGGGGTTGCGTGTGCCTATGCTGGGCACAGTTCCGAGGTGCTCGTCCCATTTATTTTGAGTGGGATTGGTGTACATCGCACTTCATCAGGTGGTATATGCAGGACGCATTTGTTGGGTGTATCGGACCGTTGCATGGTTGGGGGAGTGCACTCCTGGCTGCTGTGTGTGGCTATGTTGGTGCTACGCGCTTCCCCGTTACGTGCGTGACGAGTCTGATTGATATGTGGATACGCATACATAAAATATGGCTCAGATGTGGGTGTCCTGGTGTCCGGGTACATGCGTATTTTTCTGCAGTGCGATGGGAAGGTCAGGGGAACAGAGAGAGCGAGAGACGAGAATGGGTTTTTTCTTTGGTGGCCCGGGTGTTTCGCCAAATGGCAATACCAATGTTGATGGACCTTGTTTGTGGGGTTCTCTCGTGGTTTCAGTATGAACAAGCCGGTGTGGTACTATCAGCGGTTGTGGGGGGCAGATAGAGTTTATATGTCTCTGTCTGTTGGGTGGCTGATGTTTATTCTGATCGTAAGGAGTAGACCGGGGGCGTGTGCGGTGTTGCCCTGCTTGCTCTTTTCCCCTCCCCCTTGGCGAGCGAAGGGGGTACGCAAAATATTAATGACAAATTTCGAAAGCATCGAGAAAAAGTGATCATCACGTCATGCTGCACTTCTATCGCAAGACAAGGGGCACGCAAGGCGGACTGCGACGGCGCAGTAGCGGGCACCTTGCTAAGCAACGAGGAGAGGAAGAGGGCAGGAGAGATAATAAACGCGGCGACTTTTTCTGCACAGCAAAGCACACAGCAAGTTTGTGACACACATCATGATCATGGCGGTGCAGAGACAACCACCACACCAGAGAGCTGCTCCTGCTTCCCCTGTTGCGAGGTGGTCCGCTTGGCCTCTTCTTGCCTTCGTCCTCGTAGCATCGGTGGCTGAAGCGGGAGTGTTGGTCGAGAGAGCCCAACCCGGCGGTGCTGAACTGGCCGGGTATAGCACCAGCAGCTGGGACTCGTCGCCGTTCCATCTGGACAGCATCACGGATAACAATCTCGGCTTGCTGGCCAAGTCGTGCTCGGACAAGTTCTGCCAGGCGGGCGTCGACGGCCTCGACCTCTGGGTTTCTTTCGAGGAGGTAAGCAAGGACAGATGGTACAGCAGCAGCAGCAGCAGCAGCAGCAGAGGGCACAAGGAGGCGATCCCTTCTTGAGAGTGGGCTCGCCCTCGCTTAGGGAGTCGCGCACAAGGGCAGCGACAATGTCCGTTCCAAGTTTTTTCTCCGCTGGAAAGTCATCGGGATGATTGTTGTGTTTGTTGTTTTTCTTGTTATTTAATCCCAAAATCTAGCCAAGACTCGGTCCATGGTCACAAAAATGTTAAGAGCCATCAGGACATCTAACACACACTATTAGCAAGAAAAGGGCACGCAAGCCCGAGGAGGTACACCTGTAATCCCTGCAGCACGTTTGCATGCTCACAACTGAACTACACGCCCACACACTCCAAATCGACTACAGCAGCAGCATCACCCCCCTTGTCCTGCATTTAACCGAAATGAATGTCGACTTAAAGCGTACAGTACTGCTGTCTGAAGTGCTGTCTGTACTTCATGGTGCATGGTACACAAGCTCGGGGCATGCAGCTGCTGTCTGAAGTGCTGTCAGAATGAGTCCGTGGACATACAATGAAGAAGAACACACCCAACCAAAGCCATCATTGCAATTGAAAATCACACGAATCTATCCAGATCATCTGTGTTGGGCACAGCAGTGTAAACATCGACACTGACTAGGAATCGTTCCACATTGAAGGGGTCTTCCACGGTGCAGGTACACAATTAAGGCACCCGGGTTATCCGCGCCATCTCTGCCGCGTCTCTCTACTAGATCGGGAGGTGGAATAGTTTTTTGTTGAAAAACGTACCTGCAGTAGGCTCGTGCGTTGCTACCATTGGCCCGTTTACTACACAGCCGTACAACAATGTACCGATTGAGGTGTGGAGGGCGCCAATCAATGTAATGGACTCCTAAAAAACAATGTCTTGTAAAAAAAGACACCTCCACACGGACTCCAACCGATGATTTCGAGAGTCAGGGTGGCCTTCACCGAGTTCACGTGTGGCCTTCACCGAGTTCACGAAGTGAAATGGCTCGCTTTACAACGTCGTTGCCAAGGGACGAAAACCCGACCCCGATGGCAAACACCCGGTTGTCCCTGGGGGATCGAAGAATTGTGCTGTATNTCCTTGAACCCTATTCCTTCCTTCAACATTCCGTACACTTCTAGACCCTACTTATCCTTAGATTCTTTCCTTAGATCCTGTTCTTCTCTTTCGGTACAAGCAACAGATATATTTTCCTTGAACCCCTGTAGACCCTCCGTTTCCAGCGTTTCATCATCGTCAATGTCGAGCCCCTTCCATTCGTCCTCTACAACCTTGACCCATTCCGTGGGTTGTCTACCCCTCTTTTTGTTTGCCCACTTC